AGTGGCAGTCGCGACGCGCGCGTCGCTCCTTGCTGCTGCTGCTCGCGGTATGCTACACATGCTGTCGGAGAGACGCAGCGCGCCCCACCGCGAGCTCTGTTCGCCACGCAGTGTCCGCCGCCTCTCCTACTGGAAGGCTATCTGCCCGTGTCGGGCATAGTCCTTCCGCCTAGGCAGCACAGCACGCTCAATCACTCAGCGGGCTTCCCAATCTGGGTAGGTGTCGTCGTATTCTTCAATCGGCACGTCGCCACGACCAGCGTTGTCCGCAATTGCACTGTCTTCCGGAGTCGTCTTGGTGTCAACGCTCGTAATCTTCCGAATTGCAATTTTCTCTTCAGTCGCCTCCGCAGCTTTCCGCTTTTGGCACGAACCGTCCGCAGTTGGCCCTGGGAGGTCCCGATCCTCCCGCTTCGGCTCCTGAGGTTTGGCTTTGCTGCGCGTCGGGCCGCCTCTGGCTGCCTGCCAGGGAGGCACGCCGCGCATCGCTGCCGGACGCCGCTCCTGGTTCCTCCACGGGGTTGGAGTGTGTGAATTTGACGCTGGACTGCTCGCTTTCGGACGCTGCTCCCGGTTCCTCCACCGGGGCGGAGTGTGCGAATTTGACTCTGGATTGCTCGCTTTCGGCCGCGTCGCTGCCAGACGCTGCTCTTGAGGCCTCCACGGAGGTGCAGTTCCTGCTGCCGGTCGCTGTTCCTGTGGCCTCCACGGAGGCGCAGCTCTTGCTGCCTCTCCTTGCTTCTATCTGCTCCTGTGACACGTCCCTCAATCAGCATTCGTTCCCCCAGCGTCCAAATCCGAGGCAGTGACGGCACTGTCCAGGCTGCAGCTGCGAGTTTGGCACCTGGCTGCATGGCCCGCCGCAACCAGAGAGGGAGAGTGAGAGGAGCATGAGGAGGATGATGTAGATGAAGACGACGATTGTGCGAGGGAGTGCCCACTTTCGGGGCGTTTCGGGCGCCTCGGTCAGGGTTCCGATCCCCTCTGCGTTGTCTGGGCGCCACACAAACTGAGATAGGTCCACCCATATACTGCGCTCGCCGGGAGCGCCCGTCGCTCCTAGGTGCCGGAATTTTCTCGCAAACTCCTCGCTTGTTGCTGGAGACGCGAACTCAACCAGCACGCGGCCATCAAGCGTTTGACGGCGTAGTCCCGAATTCCTTTTCGATCTGAATCCCTGTATGCGTGCAAATTGATTCCGTGAGCTCTCCGCTCTCGAGTTGTACTATCTTGTCAGCGTGCACAGGTTGCCTGAATGCTGTCACCTTCTTGCCAGTTGCGATATCGCCAAGTACGTAATTCGAGCCCCCGACGCGCTTCACAATTTTGAACACTTCCAAACGCGATTTCGGCACCAACGTCCGAGACACTGTCCGTGCCCCTCCCTCGTGGTGCACTGCGGCGGGAGGTGCTCGAATCACTACTGTCTGGCCCACTTGCATCGGTGGCAGTACTCTCCCGGACGGACGACGCACGGGCCTGCTCATCTTCTGCTCGCCTCTCCTGGGCCTTGGGCCATCCGTACCAACTCGTAAATGTGATCTGTGGCCTTCATCAGCTCCGCCACATGCTCTTGGCAGGTTACTCTTTCGCTGTGTGGGAGTTTCAAGAAGCTGGCCAATAGACTTCTATAGGTACCGATCCCGTGACCACATGGTATATATGGGCTCATCCCGGCCAGCGACTTCTTTGAAGTCGGTCCTGACGAGGACGGAGGGCCGGCCGGGAATCGCCGGGTGCAGGGTGCCGGGTCGTCGGGTGCCGGGTCGCCGGGTGCGTGCCGGGTCGCCGGGTGCCGGGCGCCGGGTGCCGCGAGCTGGCGCGGCCACAAATTGGGCCCTAGCAGCTCCTGTAATTCGTGCCAACTCCTAATGATATTCATGCCATTCGTGTTACTACTACCACTACTACTACTACTACTACTACTACTACTACTACTACTACTACTACTACTACCACCACTGCGACGACTACTACTACTACTACTACTACTACTACTACTACGACTACTACTACTACTACTACTACTACTACTACTGCTGCTACTACCACTACTACTACTACTACTTCTACTACTACTACCACCACTTCTAGTACTACTACTAGTACTACGACTACGACGACTACTACTACTACTACTACTACTGCTACCACTTCTGCTACTACTACTACTACTACTACTACTGCTGCTGCTACTACTACTACTACCACTACTACGACGACTACTACTCCTACACTACTACTACTACTACTACTACTACTACTACTACTACGACTACTACTACTACTACTACTACTACTACTACTACCACTACTACTACTACTACTACTACTACTAGTACTACTACTTCTACTTCTACTACTACTACTATTACTACTACTACTACTACAACTACTACTACTACTACTACTGCGACTCTTATGACTATTACTACTACTACTAGTGCCACTACTACTACTACTACTACTACTACTACTACTACTACTACTACTATAACTACTACTCCTACTACTATCACTACTACGACTACGAGTGCGACTACGACTACTACTGCTACTACTACTACTACTACTACTTTGACTGCTACCACTACTACTACGACTACTTCTACTATTTTTATTATTACTACTACTACTACTACTACCACTACTACTACAACTACGACTACGACTACTACTATTATGCTGCTTCTACTACTACGACTACTACTACTACTATTACTACTACTATCACCAGTACGACTACTACCACGACTACCACTACCACTACTACTACTACTACTACTACTACTACTACTACTACTATTACTATTACTCCTAGTACTACTACTACTACTACTACTACTACTACTACGACTACTAGTACTACTACTACTACGACTAGTACTATTAGTACGACTACTACTACTACTACTACTACTACTACTTCTACAATTACCACTACGGCGACTACTACTATGTCTACCACTTCTACTGCTCTTGCTACTACTACTACTACTACTACTACTACTACTACTACTACTACTACGCCAGTTACTACTAATAATACTACTACAACTACAACTGCTTCCACTACGACTATTGCGTTTACTACTACTACAACTATGACTACTACTACTACTACTACTACTACTGCTACTTCTTCTAACACCACTACTACTACTACTGCTACGACTACTGCCAATTCTACTACTACTACTACTACGACTACCACTACCACTACCACTACTACTACTACTACTACTACTACTACTACTACTACTACTACTACTACGACTACGACTACGACTACTGCTACTACTACGACTACCACTACTATTACTACGACGTACTGCTGCTACTACTACTACTACTACTACTACTACTACTACTACTACTACTACTACTACTACTATTACTACTACTACTACTACTACTACTACTTACTTTTCCGCGTTGCGCCATTCTGCGTCACATCCTTTTTGCTGTGGCCTTTTGGCGCCGCGCGAGTATCATATGATGCCGAATTATTTTCCTCGCTGCATGTGGATGTTGCGTCGTATGTTGGCCGTTGCGCGTTCCCTGGTGCGGAAAAGTCTGTCGATTCTGCGTCACATGTCGTTTCTGCGTCGCATGTTGGCCGTCCTGCGTCCTGCAAATTGACATGATGCGGCTTTCCGGCGTCGTGGAGCTTCTAGGGGGTGCCGGGTCGCCCGGTCGCCCGGTCGCCAGGTGCTGGGTGCCGTGCCGGGTGCCAGGTCGCCGGGTCGCTTCGGGTCGCCGGCCTTTGTCAAGATCTCTTTGGTTTCTTTGCCGTCGTGTTCCATTTTCACCCGGCGATTGGGGGTTTCCCGCACCAGTCCGTGGGGGATTCCTCCACATCATATGCCTGCAGCGCCTCTTCCATCGGCTTGTGTGAACCCCCAACCAGACCCTGTGACCGAGGGCGATACGGCGACCCGAAGATTTGCATCGTGCCGGTGAGGCGGTTCAGCTCGCGAGTGAGCTCGGCCACGAGTTCGCAAGGGTTGTCGCTGCGGGGTATCACCGGGAACCGTGCAAGGTCCAGATGCACTTGGTTATATAGAGCCGTCGCCACTGTCAGCGGCCTTTTGATTGGTGATTGGGACGTGCCACAACCACAAGCTGAAACAATTGATCACAGTCATAATGTACGAGTTGAGCCTTGGGCCAAGGCGGGCACAGAGCAGTTCACCGCCACCCCTACCAACTCCCTCATCCCACTACTCCCTGGCCCTCCGAGGGTACGAAGCAGATGACCATGTTTTTTTGGGCAACGAAAAGCTCGCGCGGCCCGTTCGAGAGGCATTGCTTCGGTACGGCCAACGCGCCATTCGCTGCACAAGTGCGCGAGAGCCTGGTGAGCTGCCCCAGCCCGTCTGTGCCATCAGATATAACCCGAAAAAGCATTTAAGAACCCCCCCCCCCCCCCCCCCCCCCCCCCTCCCGGCGAAACGATATCCCTGCGCACCCTGGCGGCGTTATCCTGGCACCGGGAAGGGGGCGGATCCTAGGGGCCCCGCGGGTCTCGCAGGGGGGGAGGGTTTCTTAATCGCTTCTCACGGTCAGCACACACACACACACACACACACACACACACACACACACACGCACACACGCACACACGCACACACGCGCACGCACACACACGCACACACACACACACACACACACACACTCTGAGGACGAGGACGAGGGCGAGGACGAGCACGAGGACGAGGACGACGGCGAGGACGAGGACGAGGACGAGGACGAGGACGAGAACGAGGACGAGGACGAGGACGAGGACGAGGACGAGGACGAGGACGAGGACGAGGACGACGACGACGACGACGGCGAGGGCGACGGGGACGGCGACGGCGACGGCGACGGCGGCGGTGGCGACGGCTGCGGCGACGGCGACGCAGCACTTTCGGCTGAGGCTTCAGGCTTCAGGCTGCAGCCTTCAGCTTCCGCTTCCACCTCCAGCAGCCTTCAGGCTTCCGCTCCCACCTGCAGCCATGCAGGTGTCCCAGGGCTTGGCGTTCGCCCTCGCCGTCGCGGGCGCCGTCTCGGCCGTCGGCGCCGCGGTCGCCCCGGTCCACCTCCTCCTCCTCCTCCTCCTCCTCCTCCTCCTCCTCCTCCTCCTCCTCCTCCTCCCCCCCCCTCGTTCTCTTCCATCTCCGTAGCTCAGGTCAGCGCGCAGCTGGTGGTCAGCGGGCTCATCGGCGTGGTCAGCGTGCTCACCGGTGCGATTCTCATGAAGGTCAGCACGGCCTCAGACAGCCTCCGCGCCATGTGGTACCAGGGCGACAACATTTCGCTCAGATGCAGTTTCATTGAGCGCCGCCTGATGTCCTTGGAATTCAGCCCGTGGGAGACACAGCGGCAGATCTCAGGTGCGATTCAGGAATGGGACATGGCCCAGGACGCAGCGTACGGTGTCAGGCAAGCGTTCCACTACCTCAGTAGGTATTCCAGGAACTTCCTGCAGCGTGCGGGTCAGATGCCGTCCGCCATTCAGTTGTCCATCATCGCCAACAAGGCGATCCAGGAATCAGGCGAGGACGCAGCAGGGCAGAAGGTCACGGTGCTCATCCAGGGCCTCAGCCAAGACTGGGCCGCTCAGTTCCCTGGCCAGGGCAACGCGTACGATCCGACAGCGTCAGTCGCGATCCACGCGGGTCAGCTGTCTCAGCACGCAGTCGTGGACTTCTACGGCTTTCAGTGAGGCCAGTCGTCAGGCAGCTGTCTCTTCAGCTGTAGGAAGCCTTCGCTGGGACTCAGGGGTAGGAAGCCCTCAGTAGGGAGCCCTCTCTTCACCTCTCCTCTCTTCCTCCCTACGCTTCCTCCTCATATTACTTCCCGCAGCTTTTCTTTAGATTTCCTTACCGATTCTATCGTTTTCCTTAGCTTTCCTCAGCTTTTCTTTAGTTTTCCGTAGCGTTTCCTTAGCTTTTCTCAGCTTTTCTTTCGTGTGCGTTAGCTTCTTCTTTAGTTTTCCTTAGCTTTTCGTTCGTTGCCCGTAGTGTTCCTTAGCTTTTTCCTTGGTTTTCCTTAGCTGTCCCTTAGTTTTCCTTAGCTTTTCCTTAGTTCTCTTTAGCTTTTCCTTAGTTTTCCTCAGCTTTTCCCTAGTTCTCTTTAGTTTTCGTCAGCTTTTCTTTAGTTTTCTTCAGCTTTTTTAGTTTTCCTTAGCTTTTCATTCGCATTCCTCAGCTTTTCATAGATTTTCCTTAGCTTTTTCTTTAGTTTCCCTTGGCTTTCCATAGGTTTTCTTACATTTTCTTTAATTTTCTTTAGCTTATTCTTAGCTTTTCGTTAGTTTTCCTTGGCTTTTCTCAGTTCCCTTTAGCTTTTCATTGGTTTTCCTTAGCTTTTCTTTAGTTTCCTTTAGCTTTTCTTTAGTTTTCTTTAGCTTTTCCTTAGCTTTTCTTTAGTTTTCCTTTGCTTTTAATTTGTTTTCCTTAGCTGTTCGTTAGTTTTCCTTAGCTTTTCGTTAGTTTTCTTTAGTTTGCGTGAGCTTTTCTGTAGTTTCTTTAGCATTTCTTTAGTTTTCCTTAGCTTTTCGCTGCTTTTCCTTAGCTTTTCCTTGGTGTTCTGTAGCTTTTCCTTAGTTTTCTTTAGTTTTTCATTAGCTTTTCCTTAGTTTTCCGTAGCTTTTTCTTTAGTTGTCCTTAGCTGTTCTTTAGTTTTCTGCAGATGTTCGTTTCCTTTCTTTAGTTTTCTTAAGCCTTTCCTCGTTTTCCCAAGCCTTTCTTTAGTTTTCCTTAGCTTTTCTCAGTTTTCCCGCCCCCTTCTCAGCGAGACCGCCGGGGCGTCAGGTCGAGGCCGTCGGTTTTCAGCGCTCGCTTCCGCTTTCAGAGATCAGGCGCCGTGCGCAGGCTCCGCTCAGAAAAATGTCACCATGCTCTCTTTCGTTCGGCGCATCGCATTCAGTGGCGCTGCCGCATGCTGGCATCGCCTTCTCAGCTACGTTAGCTGTTTTCAGAGCTTGCCTTCTCAACTGCGTCAGTTGTTCTCCGAGCTCGCCGTCTCAGCTATGTCAGCTATGATTGAGTTAACGTCCCAAGATGGCCTCTAACCCCAAAATTGGCCCGTTTCCCATGTGAAACGTAGATGTTTCACAAATTCGCCCTTTGGGCTTTCCGACGCTCCCAGACGGCCCCAGAGGCCTCCAAGACCGCCCCAAGACGGTCCAAGAAGCCTCAAAGAAGGCCCAAAGACAGCCCAAAAGGGGCCCAGGACGGCTCCACATGCGCCGAAGACGGCCCGAGAGAGCCCTGAGGACGGCCCCAAGAGCGCTCCAAGAGCGCTCCAACTGGCTTCCAAGAGAGTTCCACATGGTCCCAGACGGTCCAAAAGCGATCAAAGACACCCGAGATGGCCTCCAGATGGCCCAAGACGCCCCAAAGAGGCCTCCAAGGTGCGTCCCAAGAGGGCCCCTAGACGCAAAAATGTGCTCATCTCCCTCGTAAAACGTTTATTGTTTACACATTCGCCGCGTGGGCTTCCGACGCTCCAAGACGGCCCAAGGTGGCGCTGTCGCGCGATTCCGCAACCGCGCTCGGGCGGGCGACTGGGGGGAGGGGCTGGGGTGCACTTTTTGCATGGACGCAACAAGCGGGGCCCCTAACTATTGCTTCGTTAGTATTCTTCCGATTTCTTAGTTTTCTTCAGGTTTTCCTTAGTATTCTTCAGCTTTCTTAGTTTTTCTTAGTTTTCCTTCAGGTTTTCTTAGCTTGATGTTCGTTTCCCTTAGCTTTTCTTCAGCATTTCTTAGTTTTTGTCCCCTTTTCCTTAGTTTTCTTTAGCTTGTTCCTTAGTTTCTCTTAGCTTTTCCTTAGTTATCCTTAGCCGTTCGTTAGTTTTTCTTTTGTTTTCTATTGTTTTTCCTTAGTTTTCCTTTGCCTTTCTTTGGTTTTCCTTAGCTTTTCTTCAGTTTTCTTTAGCTTGTTCCTTAGTTTTCCTTAGCGGTTCGTTACTTTTCTTTTGTTTTCCTTAGCTTCCCTTAGTTTTGCTAAGATTTTCATTTGTTGTCCTCAGCTATTCTTTAGTTTTTTTTTCATATAGTTTCTTCAGTTTTCCTGAGCTTTTCATTAGTTTGTTTGTAGCTTCTCCTAAGCTTTATTTAGTTTTCGTCAACTTTTCTTTAGTTTTCGTTAACTTTTCTTGAGTTGCCTTTAGCTTTTCCTTAGTTGTTTCGAGCTTCTCTTTAGTTTTCTTTAGTTTTTGTTTAAATTTTTATAGCATTTCATCAATTTTCGATTGTTTTTCTTGGATTTTCTGTAGTTTTCCCAAGCATTTCTGTAGTTTGCTTTAGCTCTTCTTTGGTTTTCTTCAGCTTTTCCATAGTTTTCCTTCGCTTTCCTTAGCCTTTCCTTAGCATTTCTTTAGTTGTCCTTAGCTTTATTTTATTTTCAATGAACTTTTCCTTAGTCTTCGTTTACTTTTCCTTAGTTTTTTTTCTGTCGCTATCCTTAGCGTTTTCTTACTGTTCTGAGCTTTTCGTTAGTGTTATTTAGCTTTCTATTGCTTTTCCTTAGTTTCCTTACAATTTCTACAGTTTTCCTTACGTTCCTTTTTTTCCTGATCAGGCCCTGCCTTTTTTTTTCCGTGGGTGTCGGGTGCTAAGATAACGCCTCGGTGCGGGGCGCCCGGGATACCCTGGGATGGACTACCCCATACGACGGCCGAAAAAGATCAATTTCTCAAAGGGGTTTCAAATAGAAATCGCAATGAGAAGAAGAGGAGGAGAAGGAGGAGGAGGAGGAGAACACATCCAAGACGGCCCCTGAGGTGACCGAAGAGGCCAATTCCTTTTCAGGACTCTACGCCTTTCCTCGGTCGCAATGAACTTTTCCTTAGTCTTCGTTTACTTTTCCTTAGTTTTTTTCTGTCGCTATCCTTAGCGTTTTCTTACTGTTCTGAGCTTTTCGTTAGTGTTATTTAGCTTTCCATTGCTTTTCCTTAGTTTCCTTACAATTTCTACAGTTTTCCTTGCGTTCCTTTTTTTCCTGATCAGGCCCTGCCTTTTTTTTCCGTGGGTGTCGGGTGCTAAGATAACGCCTCGGTGCGGGGCGCCCGGGATACCCTGGGATGGACTACCCCATACGACGGCCGAAAAAAAAACAATTTCTCAAAGGGGTTTCAAATAGAAAACGCTACGAGAAGAAGAGGCCGACGAGGAGGAGGAGAGGAGGAGGAGGAGGAGGGAGGAGGAGGAGGAGGAGGAGAGAACACGCTGCTCCCGCTCGCGCGCTGTGAATGCAGCGGCGGCTCAGTTCCGACAGGGCTGACAACAAGGACCTCTTCAGGCGCCTGAGCGAGCTGGGCGTGGAGATAGCCGACAAGCCTCCCTGCCGCTTTCCGCCGTCCCCCTTATCGGTGTTTCGGGGGAGGAGGAGGAACAGTACGAGTATCATCAGTAGTAGAATTAGGATGACTGAGGAGGAGGGAGTTCGGGTGGAGAATCAGGCGTCGGCCTCGAAGCATCTTCTGCCCCAGCGGGGAGGCGCGGATATCAGCAACCAGCAGGATTCGAAGACTCAATCATCACGTGATGGAAAATTCAGCATCAGGCGAAATCAGCCAGTTGCAGCATCGGCCTCAGAGACATGTTCGCGGGCGCTCTGTCCGACTCAGCACTCTCCGCGTCAGCGGCTTTCGGTCAGCTTCCTGTTTTCATCAGGGGTAAGATGACGGCGGCGGTGCAGGTGACAGACACAGACATAGCTTTCAGGTTGAAGGCCAAGGTGAGGCGGAAGCAGCTTCACTTGAGGAAAGAGTTGGCCAGGCTGGCTCAGATGGAGGGGACCAGAGCAGTTTTTAAGTGCGGCACGTATGAGGTCCTCAGGACTTTAGCTGAGGCCATTGAGGACTTGAAGAGTGACTTTCAGGCGGATCAGACGCTCAAGAAGGCGTGCGTCAGGAATCTGTGGACAGTTTTGAGGCCTAAGCCCACCTCAGGCCGGTTCGAGCAGGCTAGCGAGGAGAAGTGGTTTCAGGACGCTCAGTTGAAGCTCGGCACGCACCGTCTGCGAAGCAGCTGGGTTGAGAAGAGGTTTCAGAACCTGGATGATCAGGGACTTCCTAAGGACGTGCCGCCGATTGGTGAGAAGGATAAGGAGACCATGGGTCAGGCCTGCACCAACGATCAGCCAGGAGACCTCAGCAGCCTCGCGACATGGGAGGCCATGGCGCAATCAGGCGAGCTCAGTAAAGAGGCGCTTGTAGAGCTGCAGCGTCAGCCGTGGCTGTCCATGGAAGTCAGCGAGGTTGAGATGTTCGAGAACGCATCTGAGGCCAGAGAGCTGCTGAGAACGCCTAAGGAGAGGAGGAAAGCTCTAGGATTGGATCAGTACTTGACGACTCAGAAAGCAAATCCTGGGAGATTGAAAAAAAGGCGCGTGAATCGTCAGGCGAGGGCCGAGGCCAGGACAGCGGCGAGGAAGCTGACTCTCCATGGCATCAGAAAGCACAAGTCTGAGGGCTACTCGACGGCTCAGGCGTTCCAGATGTTAGTGACCCCGAAGACAGGCAACAGGAGCGCCCCGAAGCCTAAGATGACGGCTCAGGCGATTAAGAAGCAGCGGTTGCAGAAGTCTCTCCATGCGAAAGCCGCTAAGGCGAGGGAGAAGAAGGCAGCTCAGACGGCGGCCGCTGAGGACGAGGAGGCGGCTAAGCAAGCGAGCCTTGAGGAGGCCTGGCAGGACTCGAGGTTCCTCGAAAACA